CGGAGGAGCTTCCCCGGGCCTGAGAGGGCGCTGGGGGAGCCGCGGCCTCCAGCCGGTGCCGTGCGGGAGCCGCGGCCTGGGCGGGGGGAGGCCGCGACGCGCTGTGTTCCAGAGGTGCTTTCACCGTCCGGGTGGTGAAACGGGGGAAACAAAGTAGTGTGGAAGAGGAACGGATGTTTGTAGGCTTGAAAATCGGGTTGTGCGTCTCTGCTCGGAGCCCGTTGAGCTGAGATGTGCCGGAAGCTGCTGGTGTTTTGCCACAATGGGTACGAGGAGGGTTACTTGGCTGTAGTTTCGGTACCCCGGGTTTTAAGTCGTTGGTGCTTCTCTTCCAGCGTGTCCTGAGACATGCTCTTGTTTTCCCTCTTGCAGACGTGTGGTGCGTAAATCCATTGCCAGGGTCTTGACTGTCATCAATCAGACCCAGAAGGAGAACTTGAGGAAGTTCTACAAGGTAAGGCATCATGCAGCGTGGTCTTTTTTCTCTTGCTCTTTTAAAATACCTAGTTTGTAGGAAGGAGCTTATTTTGTTGATTATTACTTAACAGCTTAAAACTCAAGAAAGACTCTATGTTCAGTTTCAAAGTTGTCTGGGTATGGTTCCTTTTTAAATATTATTGCAAGACTACCCTAAATTCTGTACACTTTGTGCAAATGTGCTTTTGCCAGGAATCTTCTGGGCAGCATCGCTTCTCTGGTGTGTAGTACACTTTCTAGGAGATGCAGTTTCCAGAAATGGAGATACTCTGTTTCCTGAGTTGTAAACATTTTTTTTTATCCCATTAAGTTTCTATAACTTTTAGAATAATATCTCTTGGGGTTGGGATTATACAGAGGAGGAAATTCAAGAAGTGCTGGAAAACTGGGGCTTGTAAGATTAAGTGTTACTTAAGCCTGAATCAAGGCTAGCACAACTGGTACAAAAGTCAGAATCCTGTTTCCCAGCGGTGAGAAGCTCTCTTAAACTTTTAGTCTGTAACGACAGTCCCAGCAAGAAGCAGCTTAAGGCGCTGCTGGTGTCCTTGCAGACAGCTCGGCTCTCTGGGAGCTCCTGCACCCTGTTGCTGCCTGGCAACTGCTCAAACTTGTGTATTTTTGCAAACAGGGTAAAAAGTATAAGCCTCTTGATCTGCGGCCTAAGAAGACTCGTGCCATGCGACGCAGATTAAATAAGCATGAGGAGAATCTGAAGACCAAAAAACAGCAGCGAAAGGAACGTTTGTACCCTGTCCGGAAATACGCCATCAAGGCATAAAACTGCAGTGCCCGAAACTCTTTAATTGTGTTGGATGAGTATGTCTCATTAAATGGAATTTTGTTTGGAAGCTGTCACTGGTGGTTTTTTTGGTAATGGTGGGATAAAGAAGTGATCAGCTTTATGGAGGAAAAAATGAGAGGCTTCACAGAACGTTTATTTGAACTTTTATTGCTAATGAAAATATTAACTGAACTTGCAGTTTAAGACTGTTTTCCTCTTTTAGGAACAAGTACGTGGGTGCAGATCACTGAAGCTGGTCCAACTTAACGTGTAAAAAAGTCTTTAACTTGAGATTGATTTAAAATGGAAACAGTGCAGGTGTTCACAGTGGGCCAGTGTTCATCACTTCAGTAGCTTAAGAGTAAACGCTTAAAAGTTTTTTGTCTTGTGCTGGTGTTTAAGTGTTACAGAGATGAGCTGACTTGCTGAGGCGTTGTGGTGAACTTCACAGAAACTGAAGAATTCTGTCAGCCCTTGCTTTGGTCCTGGCACAAGTATTGCAGTGCCAGAGAGCCCCGGTTTGCCTGGGACTGTCCGTAGTGACACGCAGGTGTCGCTTTTGGATGAGCTGGTCAGACCAGGCCGCACGCAGCGCTGCGGGGTGGGAAGAGAGGGAGCTCAGCTCCAGTTCAGTGCTGGGAAAATTCCAGGGCTGTGATAGTTTCAGGCCCAGTGTTGGTTTTCTGTGTGTGTGGAGACTGGTTGAGGTCAAACGGAATCGGGAAACCAGACTTGGGAAAAGCTGAACTAGAAGGTTGTTGCCTCTAAAGGTCCAGGGCGCTCCCTGGTGCGGGGGTTCCACGCTCTCACCTGTGAAGTGCTGAGCTAACTAAACAGTTTGACTTGCCATCCCCCACGGAGCCCCATGGAACTCGGCGATGGAGCTGCGTTTCCAAAGGCCTTTTTTGGTTCTGGTGTCGGGAAGAGCTCTACACAGCGCTGCTGGAGCGTTCGTGATGCCGCGCTCATGGTTTGCGTTAGTGTAGCTAAAACATTCTAACATGAGAAAGTCCCATTAGGGAGTCCTTAGATTGGATCCAGATTCTGTTTAGGAAAAAATATGTTAATTCTGCTCGCTCAATTTAGCATAGATCTGAAGGATTTTTAAGCCTCGAGTTTTAAGCAGGGAGAGCTCTCATTGCGTGTGCTGGAGTGAATTTCCCATATATTGAGCTGTTCGGAGGGATAGCGTTGCGGTGACGCCAGCGCTGGCTCTGTGGTGGCTTTGTTAGGAGCTTAGTGTGGCCCCGAGCGTGATACGTTTGGCAGGGAGGGAGGGCCAGCCTGGCAGCCCTGCAGGCCCCGCGCCGAAGCGGTGCCTGTGCGAGCTGGTCCTGTGGCTCGTGGCCGCGCTCCGTCCAGGCAGGCAGGTTCCGGAACGCTTTGGCCTTGCCCTTTCCCAGTAGTCTGCCAGCAGCAGGACGCGCTTTTCACCTCACTGCCAGGATCCCGGGGCCACACGCTGCTGTCCCAGGAGCCTGATGCCTGGGAGAGGGGCTGCTCCCCGCTGCCCCGCGTCGGGACGGCCGCAAAAAAAGCGTTTGGGCATCTCTTTTTTTGGAGAGGCCTTGCGTGCTCCAGGTGCGCGGCCGAGGGGAGCCTCGTGGCTCCCGAGGTGGAAAGGCAAACACGGTAACGCTGCCCTCGTGGCCTTCCAGAGTCTGCTCCTGGGTGGCTTGAAAATGGAGACGGTGGGTGCAGGGCAGAAGGTTTGGTGACCGCCCCAGGGGGTGCCTGAGGGGAGGTAGCTGCTATCTGAAAGGTCTGATTGTTATCAGATCACTAACATGCAAGTTACGAGGCCGGTAACAAAGGGGGAGAAACAAAAAAGGAAAGAAAAACCCTAATGAGCTTGCACTGAACATTGAAGGAGAAGTCACAGGTCTGGATAGCGCCGTCCTGCCCAGAGACACTCACCCTGTGCCCCAGCTGCAGGGACGGGGGAACAGCAGCTGGAAGCTGATACCTCTGAGCACCCTGAAGGCACAGCCCGGAGGGTTTTGCTGGTTTTGTGTGTCTGCAGTTCTGGGGGCAAGGCTCCCTTTGCAGGTAACTCAGTTTGTGCTTCTCCCGTATCTCACGGGGGTTTCGGTTACAATCTGCTGGTAGGACAGGAGGGAATGGCCTCAGGCTGCCCAGGGCAGGGTCAGGCTGGCTCTGAGGAAGGATTTCTGTGCAGAAGGGGCTGTTGGGCGTTGGAATGGGCTGCCCAGGGCAGGGAGGAGTCCCCGGGATCCCTGGAGGGGTTGAAGAGTCGGGCTGAGCCAGCGCTGAGGGATCTGGGGGAGTTGGGAACGGTCAGGGGGAGGGTCATGGTCGGGCTGGAGGAGCTTCAAGCGTTTTTCCAACGCAGATGATGCTGGGATTTTCTTGGCAGTTTTTCTATACACCCTCCTGAACAGAGAACAGACCGGAGGGTGCTGAGCTCGGTGCCCCCTCGGGCTGCCCCGGGGCGCAGCACTCTGCCCGGAGGGGGGCTGTGGGCAGCACGGGCAGCCCCCTCGGGTGAGGGGCTCTGGCACGGCACCCAGCCAGCGGGAGAGGGTGGGCGACTTGTCCAGGGCTCGGCGGGGAAGCCGGGGCTGTGCCCAGGAGCCAGCCCCACGCTGGCGCCGAGCGGGTACGGGGGAACAGCTCAAGCTTCGGCTTGTGCACGATCCACCGCAGCCGTCTGAGGAGGGAAAGGGGCTTCTGGCACCGCACTGAGTCCAGGGGACGGGTTACTCCGGCCCTCCGTAGCAGGGTGGTGAAACCAACCAGTCCATCCCTGTCATCGGAGTCACCCTGTGCTGTTAGAGGTGTCCCGTGTACAAGCAGCCCTTTAAGTTACGGGGAGCAGCGTGCTGATGGTCTGGCTGGGCGCAGAGCGAGGTGACGGCCTTTCCTTTCCCACAAGCTCCCTCCAGCGTGTGGGTGGGGACACCCGTTCCTGCTGTGAGAGCAAGGTGGGTGCCTGGCCTGGCCTGTGTCCCCAGGTCCCCATCTCCGCAGGGTGTCAGCGGTCAGTGCCAGCTCCCGCTTTACCCGTCAGCCCCAGAGGATGCCGTGTTGCCCCAGCTCCCCGGCAGAAGCTGCTGCTGCAAGCCCTGCAAATCTGTTACAGGGCAGAGCAAAAACAACTAAGAGCAGCAAACATAAGGTAAACGCGCTGGCCCGCAGCCTGCGCCCATGCCAGTGCCAGTTGTGCTCGGGGGGACGTGGAGGGGTTACCGGCGTGGGCACGGGGCTGCCCAGGCCTCAGCGCAGCAGGGAGGGGGACCCCAGCAGAGGGCAGCTCCCCCCAGGCCCCCCAAGGGCCGGCCAGCACTGCGGGCAGCCCGTGGGCTCTGCCACCCCCCGCACGGCGCTGCCTGGGCGCGGGGGGGTGCCGGGGGACCCTGTCACTCTCCTGTGCTGACCCCGCGCAGCAGCCGCCGCCAGCCCCGGGGTTAGCGCCGGTGTTTGCAGAGCGTCAGGGCCTCCGAGGCTCAAACTGTTTATATTTTTCCCTTGTAACTGAAGATGTCCCGCAGCATTGGAGCAGACTTCCCGGGGAAAGCTGTTCTTCAGCAAATAAATAATTTCCAGGGCGGAGATGCGGACGGAGGAACAGCTGCTGGCTGACGACGGGGCACGGCCCAGGGCTGGTGCCACCGCGCAGGGAGCCCTGGCCGCGCGCCCTGGAAAGTGTTCAGCAGGTCCAGATGTTTCCCTCCCCAACCCCCCGGCGCAGCAGGCCCCGGCCAAGGGCGGCTGGTGGCTCTGGGTGCTGGCAGAGCCTGCTCCTGGGCCTGATCCTGCTGCTGGAGCAGCGCTAGAAGGTCTGGGCAGGGGCAGATGCAGGTTGTGCAAGCTCTGGTTGGAGAAGCTTGGGCTCCCCTCCCTCGGCTGGCGTTTGCTGCCATGGACGCGCACCCCAGCGCTTCTGACGCTCCTGGCATCCTCGCTCCTGGCATCCTCTCGTCGCCTCCCTCCTGGGGAAGGGCTCCTCAGCCGCTGCTGCGCGCTGACGCCGAGGGCTGACCCTGGTTCCCGCACAGGGTGGGACGCACACGGTGCCACGCAGGGCACGGGGGAGCTTGGGAGCACCCACGTGCCCTCGGCCGCGCCACCCGCTCCCCTCAGGTCCCCGGGGCCCCCGTGTCTGCGTGCGAGTGGCGTCTGGTGCCTCTGGCTGCTGACAACCCCCCCGTTGAGCGCCGCGTCCCGCCAGCTGGCCCAGGTCTGCCCGGGGCGGCCGCCCTCTCCTCAATGCCCGTTTTGTTGGCCGGGCTGGGGGGGGACTCGCCCCCGTGCTGCCCCGGTCCCGCTGCTCCCATGAATACGGGCAGTGTCTGGGCACAGGCACTGCGCCCTGCTCCCGCCGTCCGGGGGCTCCTGGACAAAGGTGGCCCTTGGGCTCCCAGCAGACAGGGCGGCCACTGCCTGTCGGGGCTCGGGGCTCCCCCCCAACCTGGCTGCGCGTCCGCAGGGTGATGGAGAAAGCCCCTGGCAGGGGCGAGCAGAGCCCGGGCGTGAGAGCGGCCCCCGCAGGGGGCTGCCGGGGAAGGGGCGCCAGCAGGGTGCACCCCACCACCCCGCGGGGCGTTCGGGGTGGTTTGGAGGTGGCAGCGCTGGGCCTGGGAACAGATCGCTGTTTCCACTGGTGAGTCAGCGGCGACAGTGCCAAGGCCCGCGGGTCCCTCCCTTCCCTCCGGCCGCCGCTGCCGCCCGGCCCTTTCCCGCTGCCGGTCAAGGTCGGTGGCCTCAGCGCCCGCAGCCTCAGCGCCCGCAGCCTCGCGTCGCCCCGCAGCTCTCCGGAGAGCGGCCG